AACTGTCTCAAAAACCCAAATGGCATAATCTCGACTATTCCAACTGCAGAGAGCCTCTAAAAGTCTCTTATCCTTGCATTGGAGACAAAAGTCAAAACGAAATCGGTCCACCTCCCCTACTTGCCCTTCATAAGGAATAGTTTTGGCGAGACCGAATTGCAATAATATCTTGGTACCAAAGCAAGGTACAATTCCATTTATCCCCACTAAAGAGAGGAAAGTTAATCCTAATGCCCTAGTGCCAATTTGATCAGACAGACGAGCACCGGTGTACAATGTACCATACCACGGTATCAAGAGTAATGCTCTCAAAAGTTTGTCCAATCGGCAACGTCCGAGTTTTGAATGCCTCATCATGAACCCTAGCGCCAAGCTGATCAAAACGCTATTGGCTCGACTCCTGGTATGCATAGATGTCAGTTTGCATAGATACAACTGAATGCTGATACTCGAGCTGGCAGGCATTAACTTGGTCGAAAGCCGTCTACGAGTAATCCCTATATGCCTGATAGTCCGTCCAAAGATCAACTACGGATTGCTGAATGGCAGACTAAGTATCCCAAATAGCCTGATATTGTGTGCGCGTCATGCGAAATGGCGCTGGCGTGGTGGCGGGCTCTGCCAGAACATCACTGGGATTGGTCAGTGCATCGAGGATGACTAGTGGAGGCAGCAGGCGAGCAGTGGTTTGGCGCCATTGGGTTTTACCATAAAGCGTTGGTGGCGGAAGTTGAACCTCATTGGGTTCGAGTGGGCAAGTCCCTTGGCCTTTGATGAGTGTTGTGATGAGGTTGGCGAAAGGAAGGGTCCATGTAGAACCGCCTCGGGTGTTACGCAACTTAACTTCATTAAGGATACGGATCATCTGGTTGAAGATCAAAATAGGAATGTCAACCCAAAACTCGAAGTCAAATCGGCACAAGGCACAAAGGAAGTCCCCTCGCCGCCCTTGCCGTTTTTCCTTGTGGCCTAGAGGGATGACATTCTTTTTTAAAACCACATCTAGGAAAAGGAGGTGGCGTAGTAAGTTAGCCTGACGAATGCTAGTGCGATTGTCATCATCTTGCCACCCCTCATAGAATTCAGTCACCAGTGCTTGGACTGTGAGTTCCTGAGTGAACATCAGGAACTGCTCTACATTGATAGTGTCCACGGAACAGTAGAAAACCTCAGCAATGAAAGCTGGTGTGACCACTAACTCCACCCCATCAACAACGGACAGAAGAGCTCCGAGGGCCTTGTCACTGATATACCTATTCTGATAAAAGACTCACACAATGCGAGGATACACCGATTCAATGACAATGCAAATGCCCAGTAGGCCCCAATCTTCAAGTTGTCGGACAATCCATGCAGTGGGTTGGTGGCGCCGGAAGAAGTCTACATCAAAGGGTGTGTCTGAGGCAATTTGTTTATTGGCCCAGATGTCGTTTGGCACATCCCAAGCTGCTATGTTGGCATTGGGAGGCCGTTTGGGTGCTCGACGGGATGATGTAGACATATCTATAGAAAATAATACAACCAACACAACCAAAAATGTGAAACTATTATATCAGCATTCATCAAATATCACATACATGCACGAATCACTCAAAACCTCATTGTTATCACATCACTGGGTTTTTTTTTTTTTAATACTACCCTAAATTAAATTAGAGTAAGTTAGCATGAAAAAAAAATATTTTGAACAAATGAAAATATGAAATACAACTAAATAAATAAGTTAGCAAAGGAAAAGAGAAGAAAATAAAATAAAATAAAATAAATACAGAAAATAAAAACAAAAATAAAAACTAAACCACTAACCAATTAAACTAACAATTAAATCACTAAATAAAAATAAAACGAAATCACTAACTAACAACTACATTAAACAAAAATAGGCAACCACAAGCTATATTACTATTATTATAAAGCTATATTATCAGTATTATTATTATTATTATTATTTGTTTTTTTTTTTTTTTTTTGGAGGGGGGGGGGGCGGCACGTGCGGTGTTCAGTTTCTTGGATGCCCAGAAAAAAAAAATTAAATGTTTGGGTGGGCCACACGTGCTTCGGAGTTGGCAGCACGTGCGGTGGTCGGTTTCTGGTTCAGTAGCATTTATTATTTTATTTTATGTGAGGATGATGAACAAAGCTCAAGAATCACCATTAAACTATCAATGTACAAATATTACAAGTGAAAACTAAGAAATTTACACAAAAAATGGGTGAGTATCTTGAAAAAGTAGGGAGAAGAGAAAGGAAGAAGAGAAGATGTAGATCCGCCAGAAAAAATGGCCGCCAGAAGGTCGCCAGTCGGAGAAGATGGTGAGGCTCCGGTGGAAAGGTGGTGGTGAGGAAAAGGGTGACTGAAAGTTGAAGGAAGAAGGAAGAAGAAGTTGGTGATGGTGGGGTTTGATGAGTTTGGGAGTTTGTGGGGTTGAGAGAGAGAGAAGAAGAAGATTATGAGAGGTAGAGAGAGTGTAATTGGGAAAGTAATGATCAAAAAGGGAGTCAGTGTTGCAGAAAAGAATAAATTAGTAGCCTGGATTCTAAAAAAAAAAAAAAAAACACGTGACTTGTTTGGGTTCGTAGCCTTTTTAACTCGCCCGTAGAGGTGTCTCTATACCTAGTGACCTAAAACCGTCTGGTTTGGGAGTTATTAGCCCAATACTTGCTACATGAGTTAATTAGAAAGCTTAAGAGACCTAGATATTGCACAGTTAAGGCAAAATAATAACTTGTTCAGATCCATAGCCTTTTCAGCTTGAGTTATTAAGCCCATAGGGGTGTCTTCGCACCTAGTGCCCTAAAACCGTCTAGTTTGAGAGTCATTGGCCCAATACTTGTTACATGGGTTGATTAGAAAGCTTAATGAATTAGGACATTGCACAGTCTAAAAATAAAATAAAAATTGAGAATCCTGATTGCAAAAGTTTAATGTTTTCCGTATGTGTTGTTATGATGAGTTACATTGGGCTATTATTGTGGACAATTAACTGGTCATGGGGACTGAACTTCACACTAAGGGAACTGATGATGTATTTACTAGCATTCACAAGTATATAGAACTTAACTTTTGTAATACTGAATTGTGGTTCTTGCTCAATAGATTCCTTCATGCTTGTCCACTGTGCCTTCAATGACTCATCATGTCTTAATATCACATTGCAGTTGGCACATAAGTTAATTGATAGTTGGAGTAGTGTGATTATTTCTTGTTGAGTAAATGTGAATATCTTGATGTTTGTGGGTATCATTTCTGGAAACCCTCACGAGACTATACTCATCCACATGGGATAATCTTGTGGTTTAAAGGCTTATTGCATATGCTAAAAGCAATCGTAATCCCTACAAAAGTGGCTTAGAGTATATTATTTTTCTTATTTCTATTGATTTGCTCGAAGACTAGCAAAATGTAAGTTGGGGGATGTGATGTAGGCCAAAAAGTACTAGATTGAGGCCGCTTAAGTTACATTTATAGTCTTTGAATTTTGTTTATTTGGTGGAGATGATGTGTTTTGTACACTTGTACAGATTTGGCAAGCAACACGCAAATTCAAGCAAAATGAGGCGCAAAAACAGATTCTCCGTGTGAGTAGGGAAAATTCCCAGCCTGCCACCTCACCGCATTTGCGGCCAAGCTCCACCACACGTGCGGCCCATCAGCAGAAAGAATGGGTGCTCAAGTGGCCCACCTAGGGTTGCGTGCACGAAATTTCAAGTTTGTTCTACTAGAAATAAAAAGAAGAGAAAAAAAAAAAAGGCTACCTCTAGGGGTCCGAAAATTCCAAAAGAGAGAAGGGGCTAGGGTTTGCAAAGGAGAATTTTCAAGCTTCAAGAACATCTTTCATGGGGGTTTCATCTTCTTCCACCTCTTCCCATTCCTCCATGAGTGGCTAGGCTTCTATTTCTAGGGTTTTGATAAAACCCTAGCCAAATAAATAGGGTTTTCTTTTTGGTTTTGATTATGTAATGGTTTGAACAAATTGTATGGTATTCAAAAAGTTTTTATATAAATTTTTCATTATTTCTTCAAGTATTCTACTTTCTGTGATTGTTAAATACTTTCCATGCAATGATTTTCTATTATTTCATATTCAAGGTATGAGACAAGCCATACTACGAAGGACGAGTCATTTTGCTACTCTAGTCTAGAGCAAACGACTCGTGCAACTTGAGATGGTTCGTACCCATACATTGAACATGATAATTCTCTTGATCAATGCTTCAAACTTGTAGTTGCGAAGTATTATTTGGTTCAAACTGTAACATAATTGATTTTCAAATTGAAACCTTATTTATGTAACCAGCGGTGAATTCATTACCCTAAGTTTTTCCAAAATCAATAATCCCAATTTCATTTTTAATCGCTAGTTTAATTTGTTAGTATTTTAATTAGCATGAGTTTATAAACAATCAGCTCTTTGATCAGAATTAATTTAGGGACTTGACAATTAAATTAGTTTAATTTCACATTTGTCCATATAGATCGATACCTGGACTTACCATTATTCGAAGGAATTTGGGATTTAGCAATCAACTCATTTATTCTTGTTTGCAACCCTAGCCATTATCAATGATGTACGCCAAGGATTATAATAAAGAGGTCACCGTTATGATGGTGTGTTCATGTGAATTAAAGCATACTCGTGACAAGTGTACTAATACCACAAACACAAACAACTCTCCTAGTGCAAACATCACATGTGAGTATTTACCCAATAAACCACTTTCATACAAGTCCACTATGTTCTCCAATTAACATATGCTTATATCATTACCATACTGGCACAAAGTGAATATTGAGTGAAATGGTGCAATCAAGTGTAGCAAGTACAAACATGAATGGTTATTTATAAATACCCTCACTCCTAACTAGAAAACAACATTGTCCTCAATGTAAGCAATTGTACAATAGATAGTAAAATGAGAGAGATAAGATCTTATCACACAATGTAGGCGCACATCCAGCAAGGCAAGGACACACCAAACACACTTTTTTGAACTGTACAGTATAAAAGGAAAAGAAAATTAAAACAAAACAAAACATAAATAAATAAATAAATAAATAAAAGAAAATATACAGATAACACTAATGTGGATATGGCGGTGGTGGGAAATGCTGCTCAAATAGGGCATGCATCAGTGTCCGAATCTTGAACGCCTCATCATGAACCCTAGCGCCAAGCTAATCAAACCGCTGCTCGCTCCAGTCTCGGTATGCGTAGAAGTCAATTTGCAGAGATGCAACTGACTGCTTATACCCATCAAATGCCGCCTGTGAGTAATCTCGATCGGCCTGATAGTTAGCCCAGAGATCAACCACCGATTGCTGAATAGCGGCTTGATTATCCAAAAAAGCCCGATATTACGCCCTCGTCATACGGAATGGCAATGGCGCTGGCGCTGGCACTAGTGCGGCGGACTCTACCGGGGCATCATTAGGATTGGCCCGGGCATCGGGGAAGAGTGGTGGAGGCAACAGGCAAGCAGTGGTTTGACGCCAGTGGATTTTTCCATAAAGTGTGGGCGATGGAAGCTGAACCTCATTGGATTCAAGTGGTTATGTCCCTTGGGTTTTGATAAGCGCAGTGATGAGGTTGACGAAAGGGAGGGCCCATGTAGAACTGCCCCAGGTGTTGCGCACACTTCATTAAAGATTCGATTCATCTGGTTGTAGATCAAAATAGGGGTGTCAATCCAAAATCCGAAGTCAAATCGATGCAAGGCACGGAGGCAGTCCCCTCGCCGTTCTTCCTTGTGTGGCCAAGAGATATGATATTCTTTTTTAGAACCACATCGAGGAAGAGAAGGCGGCGTGGCAAGTTAGCTCGCCGGATGCTAGTACGGTTGTCATCATCCTCTCGCCCCTCATAAAATTCAATTACTAGTGCCAGGATGATGAGTTCCCAAGTGAATACTGGGAACTGTTTTGCATTGATAGTGTCCATGGAACAGTGGAGGACATCGGCAATGGAAGCTGGTGTGACAGTTAACTCCACCCCGTCAACAAGGGACAAAAGAGCTTCCAGGGCCTCGTCACTGGTGTTACATATTTTGATAAAAGACTCGCACAATACGAGGATACACAGGTTCAGTGACAGTGCACACGCCCAAGAGGCCCCGGTCTTCAAGTATTCCACATCAAAGGATGTATCATAGGCAACTGGTTTGTTGGCCCAAGCGTCGGTTGGCACATCCCTAAATCCAAGGTTGGCATTGCGAGGCCGTTTGGGTACCCGGTGGGATAAGGAAGCCATTCCTACACAAACTAAGACAACTAGCATAACCAAAAACGTGGAACCATTACATCAGACCTCATCAAACGGCGCATGCATGCACAAATCATGCGAATCCTCATTGCCCTTCTTCTAGCGCCATTTATTTTATAATTTTTTTATTATTATTATTTATCTTCTTTTTCATCACTATTTTTACTTTCTTTTTTTCTTTTCTCTTTTCAACGACCCATCAATGCCGCTCATAAATACTCCACAGGTTCAATATGAAATCAAGTAGGATAAGAAGGCACAGATTCAATCAAATGGCTGACTACCTACAACTATAATAGTTCGGCACAACCAAAAAAATGGCATGTTGGATTCTCATGCAGAATGGAAAGGCCACAGTAGATATAATGGAGTGACAAACCATTGCACATCTATTGCTTTTTAAAAAAAAGCCCCACTGAATTGTAATTACTCTACTGATAATTTCTGGTAAAGGTTTTCAAACGAAAATGTGCAAGAACCAACGGTTGGTTAACCACCAAAATCACAAAAGGTAAAATAAGAAATACCAACCAAATTAATACATGAGCTACACAATATGTTAACCAGATTTTTTATTTTTCTCAAATAAAAATGTTTCATCAAATTACTAAGTAAAATGCAACATTATTATAAGAGTAGAGAAACTATTGATTGAAACATTTAAACAAAAACAAAACATTAAATAAAAATAATATAAAAAAACAATCTAATTAAATAAGGAAAATACACACAGGATAATAAGAAGCAAAGAATACCTTATTTTATTTTTTTTCCGACTCCGCTCATGCCATCAAAACTTTCAAGTAAACAACCTATTTTATTACAAATGAAAAGAAAAAATATATGTAAGAAACTATTTACTCTTGTTTCCAAGCATTGAAACCTATTAGAAAATAAAGCAGTTGCACTCCAAAAGTTATTGTTCATTAATATAATAAATATATATATATATATGCTAATAAAAATAATGCACGGCAAAAAAAAAATGCAAATAGTGAACTTGAATCTAGATGAAGATGAACTGAAGAAAAGAATATAAACCCCTAAGAAGTATTAACATGTCTAGCAATGACAACAAAGTAGAAACATTACCTGAAGACTGAGGGGGCATGTCTCTCGGCCTTGTGATCTAGTCTCTGTTTATTATGGGAAATTCTATTTCCACACTGTTTTGTCTCCGTGTACACAATTAATGCAAAATAAAAAAAAAAATTATGACAATTTTATCATGAAGCAAAATGACCATAATGGACATCAATACACACTACAAATTAAATCTAGATTTTCTCTATACACATCTTTAAAAAAACAATAATTCCCAATGCACAACTTTCACAAAAAAAAAAACAAAAAACAAAAATTAAAACTTAATTCCTACATTGTTTCTCACTACCTCTATTGTTTTCCATAACTTGCTACACTCCATTATTACACTCTATCCATTGCTTGCATAAACTACTCCGATATCAAGTACTAAAAAATTGTAAAACATTCGGCACTACAGAACCGATTTAATTTAAAAAATTCAAAAATTAAGTATCAAAAATTTATAAATAATTCAGAAGTATTAATTGAAAATGTACAATAATTTCGGAATATGTTTTCTGATTGGTGAGTGACTTCTTGTTTCTGAATATTTTTTCTGATTGATCTTTCAGTTCATTCAGGTTTCAATGGCTGCCAACAACAACCCCTCTGACCTAGAAAAAGAACAGGTACTTCATACATATACAGACACTAACACTATATATGTATATTTTCTTTTTTTGATGGAAAAGATTACTTTTTTTGATGATTTTGTGCAGATCACGAAACCCCTCTTCTTCTTTTTTTCTTGAGATCGCGAAATGGAAGAACAATAACATATTGTTGCTTTTATCGTTGACAAATATTGTAGGGTTACGGTGGGGTGGTTCGGGAAAGAGGAGAGAGAAAGTGAAATTACCTGAAAATGCTTGGGGTTTTCGCAGCAGTTGCTTTGGTTCTCCTACTCTTTATTCTCTGTATGCGGCTAGGTTTTCGCAGACCACTTCGTTTGCTCCGAGGAGAGAGAGATAGAGAGAGAGAGAGAGAAGGCTTCAATCTCAAATAGTTTTGGTCCCCAAAAAAAATTCTGAAATAGTTACGAAATTTAGAAGGAAGGTTCCGGATGAAATAGTTGTGTAATTTAATTTTTATGTTATCATTAATGTATTTTGGATAAATTATAAATATATTTTTTGAAATTTACTTAAAATATGAATTATATAAAATTAATTTAAAAAATAAAATTTATAATTATTCTCTTATACAATAATAAAATTACTTAAACTATTAATTAAAATATATTTCTAATATCATTAAAAATTGTTAATTGATTTGATGATTTATTAATAAAATTGATGATTTATTATAAAATTTAAAATCTCAGGGAATTAAATGTAATTTTCATAATCACAAACGGCAATTCGTATCTTAATTAAATCTCAAAGGTTATATTTATAATTTACCTAATGCATTTTTTATTGAAATATATAGTATTTTTTTATAAAAAAAAAATTTATTATAGTATGTGAATGGTGGGTGAATTATAATTTTTTTAAAAAATCAAAAAATTTAAGTTTAATTTTTTTTTTATATTTGTCTAATTGTTTAAAATATAATTTTTTAAAAAAATTAAAAAGGTCATAAAAGACAAAAACAAAATCAAAATTACTCAAAAATTAATTTTTTTTTTTTTAAATTTTAGTGGCATGTGAATGGTGGAGTGAATTATATTTATATTTTTTTATAGAATATAAATATTTAATTCTTTCTAAAAAAAAGTTTTAAAAAGATGATTAAAGGCAAAAACAAAGATAACAAAAAAACTACTTAAAATATTATATCCAACCACCACTTAAAAAATATGTGGAAAAGTTGGTTAGGAATATGTTAAAATGGCATTGCAATATTAGAATACCATTATTATAATTTAATATTTTACTACTACAACATGTCAAATTATAATTTTAGCAATGCTATTATGACAATTAACATTGGAGATACTCTCAGCACAAATTATACCTGTCCCTTATATTTGAATATATATATATATATATATAATAAATTCTATAATTTTAATAGAATTATATTGAAATACTGAGTCTCATAGTGATTAATAATTTATTAATTACATGAATAAAAAAATAATCTTCTCATTTCTTTTACTCACAACTTATATCTTAAATTATTTTATGTTTTTACATTAATTCTGATCCATTTAGCCATATTAAAAGAAAAATTAATCAGCTTGCTTGTTTTGGTATTTTAGAAAACATTTTTCAGAAAATTCTACATTCTTATTTTTCGTGTTTTTTTGTTTTTACTGAATTTTTTTTTATATTTTAAGCAATTTTTTTAGACACACCTAACATAAATACACCTAAAAAGTAAAAAAAAAATGTAAAAAAAATCTTTTAAAAATTCACTAAATACCAAAAATACAAAGAAAATACAAGAATTTAGTACATTTTTTGTGTTTTTATGTATTTATTAATTTTTTAAAATATTTTTTCACAAATTTTTACTTTTTAGATACATCTAACTAAGGTGCATCTAAAAAAGTAAAAAAAAAAAATATTTAAAATTTAAAAAATATTCACTAAAAACAAAAGAATATGAAAACCAAAAAACTCAGTTTTCAAAAAACTTAATCCAGAAAACTCAAACCAAACACACAGTATATAATTACGTCAAAACTTTGAAACTTTTTTTTTTTTTCAAATTTTAAGGTTAGTGTAATGGGTTTATTACACTTTATACTCCTAAATTATCGTCAAATTGTCAGTCTATTAAATCCCAAAAGTATATATCAATTAAAATCTATTTAATTCTTAAATTATCGATTGAATCTATCAAGTGTCTAAGATATTTAAATCAAACCTATTTAATCCCTGAAAAGGTTACAAAAATAAAATATAAGCTCATAAATATTATAAATTGGTAAAAGTCCCTAATCTAATTAAAATTTTATTTCAAAAAAACCTTAAATTTTTATTCTGTCTTTAAAAAGTGGGTGTTACCTCTTAGCGTGAATTTTCTTTATGAGGATAAGAGTAATTATCTATAGTATTTTCTTATTTATCTTCTAATGTGTTTGCCTTTATCTAATATTATATTTCAGATTTCGTTTATAATTATTAATTGATTGTTTTTAAGTTTTCCACTAAGTTCTTTTTATAATTTAATTAATATATTATTTTTCTATTATTATTTGTGGAAAATGCTATTATTTAAATTATCTAATTCTACTTTTTCAGTATATCTAATACTTATATAATTTTATTAACAAAGCTGAAAAATCAGACTTTTATATTAATTTAATCACACAACGAAATAAATACTTAATGGAGACAAAATAAAAAAAAAAATTGTAATAGATTTTTAATTCGGTAGGGTCTTTTACTAATTTATAATATTTACAGGCATATATTTTAATTTAATGATTATTTTAGGAACTAAATAGATTTGAGTTAAATATTTTAGGAATTTAATAAATTCAATTGATAGTTTAGGAACTAAATAGATTTTTATTTATATAATTTAGGAATTTAGGAGACGCAATCTATAGTTTAAGAATTAAATAGAAAATTTAATGATAGTTTATGCATACAAAGTGTAATAAATCCTAGTGTAATGTACCCCATATGTTATTGGAAACCCAAAACCCAATTTAGAAACTCTCTACTGGCCCAAGTTAAAATGGCTTTGACATGGTCATTTTTTTAATATTGCGTAACTTGTCATTTCGGCACAATTAAGTAACAAATTCAGTTAATTTTTAAACTTTTCAACCATTGAATTGATAGATGTAGTAAATTAAAGTTAATTATATATAAGAGATATAGTGAATGTTATTCCTATGGAGTTGTAGGTCTTCAAATGATAAATTGTGAATAATTGACTTAATTTTAATTATTTTTTAATATTATTGATTTTTTGTAATTTGTAGATTTTTTAGAATTTTAAAATTTTTAATAGAATTTTGATTTGTAAAATTTGTGATTTTTTTTTTTTTTTTTTTTTTAAGTCTTAGTAGGAAATAATTAAAATTAGTGAACAAGTCCATTTTGAGCAACTTGTTTAGCATAGATCCTATAAATATACTTGTGATACGATAATTACAATATACTCATCTGAAAGAAAAATAATATACAAATCCACTTTCTGGAGACATTGATGTGTCAATAAGAAGATTGATTAGAAGATAGAATATTTTATTTACAAACCCACTTTCTAGAAAAGAAAAATTATATACAAGCTCATTTTCTAGATCTATTTAAAAATAATATATTTTATTTATTAGGAATTAGATTCTTTTCAGTTAAAAAATTTAACTGGATGGTTTTCTTTGGCTCACTATAAACTCATTTCGGATCCATTTCAATGATTCAAACTATTTATTTTGTATGATTTTTAAAGAAGATCACGCGTACTAAAAATAAAGTTGATCCGATATTGGGAACTACTTAATCGGAACACATTTGCTTGAAAAATAATTAATTGATAGCATAATTTTGAAAGTAGTCTATTAATTATTTTTCAAACAAAATGTGTTCCGATTGAATGACTCACAATATCGAATTGACATTTTCCTCCTTTTTTTCAACCCAAGACAATAGTCATAACTGCCATAATGTAGGCAAAAGAAAACAAGAATGAGAAATAAAGGAAAAGAGAAGAATAATGTCATTTCAAGCATATCACAATATTTAAAATGCCATGTGCGAGACACATATTAAATTTTCACTAGTTTATGTAACAGATCATTAATAGAATGTTCACATTGATACAAATTAATAATTTAATGTGAAAAAATAACAATTTTTAGCTTAAGGGGACAAAATCATTATGGATGATAATAGTTCAAGGGTAAGGTGTAATTTACCCTAGACACAAGTAGATAGCTGGTGATTAACAGAGAAAGCTGTACTGCCCCTACTGTTTTGATCAAAGGGAATTGATATTTAAAGCACAAAAAGGCTTTTCCTGGATGAGCTAGAGCAGTTATAATTTTCTTTTCACATGTAACTCACATTTTTCTCTCACGTATCCGTATCAACTTGTTGCAAAAATTGAATTACACCAGAATTATAACCCTTATTGACAAGAAAATTGCAAATCAATTTGTTTTTGTATACCAATTTCATTCATTCTCCTCATTTTTTTCCATGGATTTAAACAGTCATGACCAACACTGATGCTCCAAGACATCAATCTCATGTGCAAATCTGCAACTCATCCCTTGATTTTGAATTCACCACTCACCGAGCAGAATTGCTTAATTCACTAACCAATATTGTAAAACTATCCGACCGTGCTCTGTCCCGGTGCTTTGTTGATTCTATTTTCCATCATCAACGCTCTCACTTTCTCGACTTCATCCCATTTCCCTCTTTCTGCATAATCATTTGACAACAACACATAATTACTGAAATTCCAAGGTTCAAGATCAATATGCTCCTTCACTGCACTTTCTGCAAGCTCCATGCTATCATGAGTATGACAAGCACTTAGCAATGCACCCCAGATAGTAGCATTAGGGTTCATAGGCATGGTGCAAATTAAATCATGAGCCCCCCTTCACACATCTACTATGCCCAAGAAGATCAACCATCAATCCATAATGTTCAGGTTTTGGTTCAATTTGATGCTTTGTAGTCATCGAAGCAAACCAATCCAAACCTTGTTGCACCAACCCTGCATGTGCACAACATGCTAAAACTCCCACAAAAGTGGCATCATTCGGTTTCACATTTTTCAACAACATCTCCTCAAATAAATCAACTCCAAGCTCACCCTTTCCATTGAAAGCCAAACTGGAGATCATGGCATTCCAAGAAACCACATTTTTTGGGGGGATGTCCTTGAAAACAGTGAAAGCTGTTTCTAAATCCCGCATTTGCAATAGAAGTCAACTAGTGAATTCCTTATAGAGATGAAATCTTGATATAGTCCACTAGACTTGGCATAAAAGTGGATCCACTGTCCAATATCAACTGCCTCCACATGAGCACCAATTGGCAGCACAGAGACCACAGTTGCTTCACCCGGTTTAAAACCATTGTCCCGCATTTGGCAAAAAATCTCCATAGCTTCATTTTCCCAACCACTTCGAGCTAAACTTGAGATCATAACATTCCAAGACACAACACTCCACTCGTTCATCTGCCTAAATAGTCGAAACCCCATTTCAAAATCATCAATTTCACAAAACCCACGAATCATCAAGTTCCAAACAATCACATCCGTATGAGGCATTTCATCAAACATCTTCATCGCATCCTCCATCGTCCCACAAGACGCATACAATTCAACAATCCCAATCCTAATCGAGCTAATTATTTGTTTTTCCTTTATTACAATTGACAACTACCTCCCATCCTTATTTTTGTTCATCACCACCCTTCCTTTTCCCAACCCACTACCACTGCTTCTTTCATTTTCACCATTCAACGCTAGTCTCTTTTCCTAAGTCACTGTCACCCCTCTCATTTCTTTACTAATCCATAGCTACTATCGTTGTCCAACGCCACTAACAAAAGGTGATTAAACTGTCCAAATTGCTCATGTTTTGCTAGATATAACTAAAAAAAATACAAAAAATATAAAAACTCAAAATTGTTTTAAAAAACTTAAAACCAAACAAAATGAGAAACTTATTGAAATGTGAATATGATTGCACTTTTTCTATAAGACAAATTTATGTGCACACCTCAATTCTTTAATGACATCAGCTGATGCAAAAAAGCAAGCCCAATTGGAATAGATGAGATTGAATTTGTTTTAAGGGCTGCTGTCTTCCTGTTGGGAATTAAGACAAATATTTTAATATCTGATAGTAGAACTCAGCTGGAATGTTTACCTTAGGGTTCATTGAGGCCTCCAATCTCAATTTGCTCAAGTCTCTATTTACCCCCCTCTCCCCCAACCATAATCGCCGCTTCATCTAACCAAAAACAAAAACAAATTTCCAAAATGCAAAATGCTATTACCAGCTTTGGCAACAATTTTTATCTCAATCTTTAGATTCAAATGTTATAACAAGCATGCTTAACCATATTGCAAAATTGTTGAATGGTAGAAGTGTTTTCCAAAGCAATATCATCTCAATCCAGAAGAAGCGCATCATCGTACATCTATATTTTTTGCAACATATCCAGTAAGATGAAATGTACAAAATTGGAAATGATATTCAGCCCCAACAGTTAACCTTATAACAACAGTGATGTGAACACTTTCGTTACTATTTGTTAAATTCTGAAAGGAAAGCCAAAAACTTGAAAAGTTGCCCTTTCTGGTAGAATTCAGGAGATCTAGACTAGGGATAAGCATCTTAAGATCACTTTTTGGATGAACCAAAACCCCCAAATCCCACCATTGCTGCAACATTAGCATCTACCTCAGCTTCCTCCTCTGCTGCCTTCTCTTTCTGATCCATATAACAAATCAACAACCAAAAATCATATTATATTTCTCGTCAAGTAACATAAATTGGAGCATGTGCATCTCGTCAATTTTCCTTTTTCCTTTCATTAAGTAAGTTTGTGTATCTATGCTTATCAACAGGAAGAAAAAAAAAAGGAAAATAGATTTGGAACTAACCTTCTCTTTCTTTCTCTGTCTACATTGACTCTTCCTTTCCTCCTCTTCTTGCTGCTGTTTTAAGATCTGGTCATCAAAATCTACCAGAGAAAAAGAACAGAATCAATCCAGTTTTTTCTTGTATATCCTCGTAGCAATGGAAATAGTTCAGGCAGAAAAAAAGTTAAATCTGAACATAAGAGAATTGAGCAAAGGAATGAGAACTCATAATGCTTTTTTGGTTCACAACTGAGCAATCAATACTTATCAATTGTATTAAAGAAGCGGCACAACCTTGTACACACAAGATATACAACTAAGCAATCAATAATACTGTTGATACTTTAAAAATTAAACATCTGAACTAAACTAGCCTTAAATTCCAACTAGCAAAATACTTGCTTCTTATTTTCAAGTCTTAGTTTGCTCGATGAAGGGTCCAGTATCTTTCTGCTTCTTGAGAAGTTCAAATCGCTCCTGTACCTGAAAGCCGAAGAAGGTTAGAGTCTTAGCACACACTATAACACTATGAATAACTTCTTGCCCAAAATGAAAATTTGGGGTCCCAGATGAATAATTTGCTTTTCAGAAAAACCAAAATATTTGGGAGTAGCGAATTTTTTCATCACATAATGTATACATATTGTAGGCACTCGTTTGTTAAGTGGGATTATTAGGAGGGATTGAATGTTCCCGGAGATATAATGCCAAAACTATTATATTCTTTAATCCAGTTATATCCGATGTTCAGTTGGGGCAAGGTAAGAGATGGCATTCGATGGACCCAATACTTTTATTGCCATCAAGTTTTATACCAAGCCTTAACCACCATATACCTAATCCTGAGACTAACAATATAAGCCCCATGGAGGCACAAACAAAGGGGATAAGTGAGCCCCATCAACTATAAACTTATTTTCATAAAATCAATAAATATTTTATTAATTCATTCCTTATACAAATTATGAATATTTTCTAAAATAAAATACACACACATCCACACACATCCACATCTACATCCACATCCACATCCACATTCACATTCACATTCACATTCACATTCACATTCACATTCACAAAATCATATGAAGAATAAATCATAGGAAGAATAATATATATGTATCCTTTAACAATTGTCAACCAAATATTCTTTACAAAATTATATAAAACATTCTCCAACAATACTTAAAATTTTTGATATATTCAAGAACTCAAATTTTTGCATCTAAAACAAAACAAAAGTATCGACAATACAAATAAAAAAATATATATTATAGCTTGTTTTAATATCAACAATAAGTTCCAATATTGATATGCAAAGATATCACCACGTACTCAAAAGGGGTTGCATCTGCAAAAAAAACCAAAAAAAAACTCATCATTTACAATATATTTCAAGCATACAGCAAATGTAAAACATTTGATATTTATTTCAGTAAATAAATAAATACAAAAAAAAGATTGTAACATATACAATAATCGAGCGCCACACAATGTATCTTTCAATAGTTTCTCCAACTGTTCTTAGACCTCAAGATGTTTCCAAAAGAGCATTCAGCTTTTTCGCTTTTAAGACAAAGACTTTGCAATATTCAAGGCCAATTGGAACTCCATCAATTTCACACAACGAATCGTCAATAATAAGATGTCCCTCCGCCAATTGGACTATTCGTATACGTAAACTATCCAAAAAAAAAAATTAATTACATCATACAATGATGATAATACTATTAAAATTAGGTAGTGATTGAATACATTGTGCTATAATCTAACAACAATCGAATAAACGCAAAAGATGAAAAGAGTTTCTAAAGGATTTGTTTTCACAAACAGGAATTTGGCTTGAGATTCAAAACCAAAACCGGTTTCGAGTTCCGTCTTTTACTACAAGTCATTTGTGCCTAGTTAGTCAAGTGTGTCAAATTTCCTTGACATCCGAAGTAGCTTGAGCATTTTATTGTGTCAACTGGTTTGAAAAAGAGTTTCTAAAGTTTTCACAAACAGAAATTTGGCTCTAGATTTAAAACCGGCAATCGGTTTCAAGTTTCATCTTTTCCTACAAGTCATTTGTGTCTAATTAGTCGTGTGTGTCAAGTTTCGTTGACATCCAACACCGTTTGACAATTTTTGTGAGTCAACCGGTTTGGAAAAAGAGTTTCTAAAGAATAAGTTTCCATAAACAAAAATTAGGCTCTAAATTCAAAACCGGCAATAGGTTTCGAGTCCCATCTTATCCTACAAGTCATTTGTGCCTAGTACATCGTGTGTGTCAAGTTTCATTGACATCCGACGCCGTTTAACCATTTTAGTGAGTCAACTAGTTCAGAAAGAGAGTTTCTAAAGAACAAGTTTTCATAAATAGAAATTAGGCTCTAGATTCAAAATTGAGAATCGATTTTGAGTTCCATCTTCTCCTACAAGTCATTTGTGCTTAGTTTGTCGTGTGTGTCAAGTTTTGTTGATATCCAACGCCGTTTGACCATTTTAGTGAGTCAACCAGTTCGGAAAAACAGTTTCTAAACGACAAGTTTTCAAAGTGTTTGAAAATTTTACCTCATCATCTGGTGGTGGTGTACGTGGGTTCTCATCGGCCTCATAATCCGTAGGTTCACAATGGCCACTCAATGCTTCCGGTACCTATGATGTTCATGGTATTCTTCGTTAATCGTATTTATATTCAATGATAGAATTGTGCTGAAATTAGGTATTTATAAAAAATAATTTATACCAAACCTGTTTGTTGTGATTTGCACTCGTATCTGTGTCGAAAGCTCTACTCGCATCTCCTCTCTCAATTCCTCTCTAATCTCATCCCTCAGCTCTTGTCTCAACTCCATACGAACCTGCTTGGTGATCTCAACAACAGTCGATGACTGAGATCCTGACTGTGATGACTTTAGATGCATCTCCATACACCGTGCTCCAAAGCACATCCTTGTTGTAAGTTGGACAATATCCATGCCCGTTTTCACTGACCACCTTGTGGAAAACACCATCTCGAGTATCTTCAGTAGTGTGGTAATCTTCAGGCAACATACCATGGTCGGCCTAACATCAAGGTCAATTTGATTGTGTGTATATTTCCAAACACTCATTTTATCAATGGCCAACCCTCCAGCAGTCATCTGAAAATTTAAAAATTAATTATTATCAAAGTAATTTAGATATTGATATTTACCTAAACAATATATACCTTCCTTCGAATCTGGTTGAATGAAGTACGTCCTTTCGTATGATTAATATAATGAAAGGAATGACTTCCAGCATTGTGGACTGCAATTGCCTATAAAGTTTCCATAAATGTAAGTCGCAATTATACAAAGTTATTAATTTTTCTAAAGTTACGTGTTTCGTAATTAACTTATTTTGTATACCACTACTTTCATAGTCTTCCAATAATCAACAAGATCATACCACTGTTCTGGAACAATTTGCGAAGGCACCATATCTTTGATATTAGGATGAGACTTCACTTAAAATACTTATTCTTGATCTTGCTTTTGTGATCCTTCCACAAGTCATTGCACTTTTTCAAGCAACGTGATTTGTACCCCTCTAGACAAATTTGTAAATTATCCCACAATACAATTTAAATCATTAGTTTAATTAATAATATAATTAAACAATTTACAAAATAGGCTTTTACCTTAATGTCGACCCATATTGATTCAAGAATATCCTCAGGCACTTGGTTCCAATCAACATAAATAAAGAGAAACCACTCACTGAATGGCAATAATGTTTTCATTTGAACATATACATCAAGTAGCAACAACTGAAGGACTCATTGTTAGTTTCCTCAAGAATTATATAAATTGTGAGAAGTATTCCTTGCATAGAAAACAATGAAGTGTGACAGAAGAAAAAACGAAAGTGAAGAAACAAATAATTGTAAGATAAACCAAAGAGAAGAACATTTGACCAAGTAGCAACCGCAATGAGAATGTGATGGTAATGTAACAAAGTTATAGGAAAGGCTGGCATACAAGATACTTAGTCACATGCACAGTTCCATGGAAATTTATTAAAACTTCACAAATGAAAAAAAAAAAATGATAAATAAACTTACAAAAAAATATTGAGTGATAATTCATCAAATTTCCCTAAATCAACATGCATAGTTCATTTAGAAAACTAGATTCTTAGTAACATGCATAGTTCCAAGGAAATTTATTAGAAATTCATAAATGAAAAAAAAAAATGACAAATAAACGTACAAAAAAGATTGAGTGAGAAAACTAATTCATTCTTGTAATGTGCTACTCATAGAACCCTATATGGATTTAATAGTTATATGCATATAGCCTCCCAAACTCATTTTGGAGAATAGACCCCATAAGAAAAGCAGATCCAAATTACATTATTAGGTCTTGTTGTTACTGCCTGCAGAGTTTTCGGAGTATTTGCCATGATCCGTTACTCTATTTCTCACTCTAGGCCACTTCTAGGTTCCATGACATATATATAAAAAAAATAAAATAAATAATAATAATAATAATAATAATAATAATAATAAATGTAAAAAAAAACCTCATTTAAAATTGTTGCTTTGATTTAAGCCTCAAATTACCTCAAGCCAGCCATGTAAATAAACCAGTCAACTACTATTTACTAAAAGGAATAGAGAAATTTGATAAAGAATATGCGTATAGTATACGACATAACTACGGAAAACAAGGGAAGAGAACGATAAGGAACTACTTTGGATTAGTGGCAAATTATTTTTGTGTTTCAATTCTAACCTGTATTCAAGGTTGTCGGAATTGGGATTGTAGATTGGCCTGGCAAATTTTCTTTGGCATTGCCCCCCAAACAAAAACAACACAAAAAAGAAAAAGAAGGAAAAAAAAAAGATTAAAGGCTTAATGCATACAAAATGATTCAAAAGTTTACTAGAAAAAGAGCATTATGATAAAAGTTCTACATTTCAAGATCCTAGGTGTAACCATATTACTAGTTAAATTATAACAAAACTTCATTATTTTATGTTTTTCATTTCCATTTGATTTTATTCTTAGAAGTGTCATTCCTGAAACTCAGTATGCAAAGAGGAAACTTCAGCTTCTTTTGTGTGTATAGGTAGTTATCAAACGATGAGTTTTTACTTCAGCTTCAAACTTGAACCATTATATCACTACAACAAGATCACTGCAAAGGAAAGAATGACAGAAAAATCCTAATCCAGAAGAAAGGGTAGAATTTCGGATAGTGAGAGAATTCCAATGTCCATGCATTTCTTTCATTGACCATTTTCATTGGCCACAAAAACAAAAATATACAACTGCAAGATGTACACTGGGTGAAATTCATGTAGCTCCTTCAATAAAGCCAACTGAAGTGATATGCATGTACAGAAGCATCACAAGGACCATGGTCAATCACTGACTATGACTGTGTCTCGCCTTAGAATAAAATTAAATTAAACTGACAGATAGGATGTTAAAATTATGAATAACTGATACAAGAGGTGATCGAGGTTTATGTTTGATACAATGATCTTAAGACAAAATTTGGCCCTCGCTATAGTGCTTACAAGTTTGAATGAACGCTTGTCTCTTAGGATACAATGATCAAAAGCAACGCACATATAACACTCCAAGAAAAAACTGATCTTAGGATACAATGATCAAAAGCAAAGCAACACATATATAACACTCCAATGATCTTAAGACAAAACTGAGTTTTTTTTTAGCTATAATTTGTAGCTAACTTTTGAAGACATTCTAGATATTTGCACAAGAAAAAATAGTTATGCAACAACTTATGCTAATAATCTAAAAAGATACATAAAAGCTAACATATAAGTGTTACCACCACCGCGCTGATCATTGAGAGTATAATGGTTGCAGGTCATCCTACTTAATTTTTTTAATTTAATTATTTTTTTTTAGAAATTATTCCCTCAACAGGCAGTCCAGACTAGAAATTCAGAATTATTATATGATGTTCATATATATTTAGTTGAGATTCTGAGACCAACTTGACATTAATTTAATTTGCCACTAATCCAAAGTATTTCCTTACCGTTCTCTTCCCTTCTTTCCGTAGTTATGTCGTGTACTATATGCATATTCTTTATCAAATCTCTCTGTTCTTTTTGGTATGTCCTGGAACACAAGTGGTAGTTTAGTTACCTCCATCCTTGCAAAACTTGCCTCTGTGATTATCTGATGTTTGTAACTTGGTTACTCTATGTTGAAGATTAGATCATGAACTTGTAATGCATTCCCACTTTAATTCTCATTCAAACCAATTTCTATTTTGTTTTGTTGTAGTCCCTCAAGCGTCAGACAGAAATTCATAATTGTAGTGTGTATTGATTTGTTTTTTCACCTTTCATAGAATTTCATTGCTTATGTTTCTGTTCAATCATAACTTGCTTTCTATGCAAATTTTGTCTTAGACTATGTGACGGAGATGGCTCAACTGTTTGGCCAATTTATCCTTTTCCTAAGATCCATCAAGAAAACATAATGGTAACAAATTCTTATTGCTGAATGTCTTAATTTTCAAAAGCAGAGTCAAATATTATCTCATTCTAATTAATTTTTCAAAAACATAAGCCAAGTAAGATTTCATTTTGATATTTAATCTGGAAAAAATTTGGGCCTATGTGAAATATTAGATGGCTGTTGTTAACTGACAACTAGTATTCGTTTTTTTTCTTTCTGAAAGTGCATAATTTCAATAGGTCCAATGTTTGAATTTGCAAAACATGGGCATCCAGAATCTGGTGCATAATTTAATGTTTTAATAGTTATAATATCAGATAGAGTGATCAGAGGTGTACAGTATGGCAATGACAGTAGGCTACACACAGAATGTACCTCAATCCCGTGGGTGACTAAGAAAGTTTGTCGCCTCCGTAACATGATGAGTAGTCGGTCAATCGTCTGAAGGAGCTTGTCACCATATGCCCGGGGAATCTGCAAAAGAATAGAAACTGAGAAAAACAGATAGAAGTAATCGAATAGTGAACAATAATGGCTGAGAATAAGTTAAAGTGCAACATGGACTGGCATTAAAAGAAAATGTACCTGCTCAACGCCAAGGGCAAACACAAGTTTGCGGTCCCTCTCCTCGACGGGCTCAAGTGGAATCTGATTAATCACTCCATCTGGACGCATGTACATAATCTCGGTGGGAAACAAAAGCAATCCAGGAATGGGAGCAACGGCAGAGGCACCTCCAATAAGCATATCGCCAGCCCCGGCAGCAAGAGCAACAACAACCTCTGGTACAGCTCGAGCCACGCCTGGAGTAAGAGGTGCCATCACCCGAGTGTGTAAGAAAGTAGTGAAGTCGCCGGGCTCATGGTGACGATCGCCGTCCTCACCTATCATCAAGTGGTCCAGCTCAGGACCATCCTATAAATCATCTACCACCCTCATGCCGACAGAAGGAGGATGCGAAATATCAGGGTCAGCAACGCCCCGAGTCTAGCGGATGAATCAATCTCCCAGGTAGTATGCCCAGCCAAAAAGGCCCTCGAACAGATCCTCATCGTGGAAGCATGCCAGGCAGCGGTGTAGGTCACCCTCGACACTTAGGGAATGCCTGCCCAAGGGTGCCAGTCAACATGAGAAAATCAGTGCAGTGTCAGATATCAGTGCGATGTCAGAATGGCAGTGCGGTGTCAGAATTAGTGCAGTGTCGGAAGTCAGTGCAGTATGAGAATGGCAATATGGTACAGTACAATAGTACAACGATATAGTGATCATATAGTGTGGGAAACAGTGCAATACCTGATCAGCTGTGATAGTGTCAAAGAAACGGTGGAAATATGGGAAGGTGCGATCTACAAGGTGACGTCGCTCGAACCGTGAGTTGTAATACTGAGAGCGGGGTACAGACAACTCAACCGGCCTCATTGGAACTGGGGCCAACAAAGTGAAATATGTGTAGACCCAAAGTTGCAAATCAAAGGCAAATAGATGACATGAGAGAACGGATCAAATGAGCAAGAAATACAACAGTAAACAGAATGTAAAGCATATCAGAAAGGTGAGTGTAAGATGTACCTCCCAAACCCTCCAGTAGCCGCCGAGTGAATCCATCTTACGGTGGGAAACGGAGCATGTGTAACAGTATAAGGTGGCTAGACCTGCGCCACCCCAGTCGCAATCCGCTATCCGAGGAAGATGCACCAATGCTCCTAGAATGTATAATCTCATGGTATTTTCCCTATTTGCAAACAGGGTAGTGCTGAGGAGATATGTGAGGAACCACGAGTGTACTGGGCAACCTCGTCAGCAGTGGCTGGCTGTGTGCCGGAGAAGTGCTCCAAGAACCAGCTGTAGCGCACCATCCTGTGGCTGGTAGTGTCTGGGATCGCCGCAAGAAGTTGGAGCTGTGCATCTCTCCACTGAGTCATATCTGGATCGAAAGGGACTAGGCCGCCAACCCCAACTCGCAAACCGATCAATATCAAGAAGTCATATGGGGTCAGTGTCATCTCTCCGGTAGAAGAGAAGTAAAATGAGCTGGTGGTGTCCCACCATCTCTCTACCAAGGACCCATAAAGCCGAGACTCAGCCCTCATCTGGATAAACCCGGAGCAAAAGGGCCCAAAGCTAGCAGCATCTACCGAAGTGCGGACCTCTGCGGGAAGTCGCTCATACCAATGTCGGGGGCCAGAGATAGAGCCGTAGCCGCCTATCCTCCTGGCGATCACCTATTAATTGGAAGTTTTATCAGTATATGTGCAGTAGGGATAAGTGATTTGTTCATCAAGTTCAACATTTCAACATGTGCGCAAAGTAAAATGCAAAGTCAAATGGGGGAAGAGTAAGCGTCAGCAGAGATAAGCTCCATGGGCTCTCACAGTAGAGTATCCTCATCCAACTCGGGAATGAAGCCCTCGAATCTCAAGATGCCGCTAGGAGGTGGCACATGCGTACGCGGCTAGTATGTGACTGCATCAAAAGGCCTCTCGGCAAGGGGGAGCAATGCAACGGCTTCCTCCGCCTCTATGTCTGCACCAAGGGCAGCACCAACACCTATGGCAGGCTCTGGAATGGGAACCTCGTCACTAGCCATGGAAAAAGTGAAGAAAAAGTGAAGGGGATGAGTGAAAAGAGGTGAAATCCTAAATTTCAAACCCTAAGTGAAGAAAAAGTGAAGAGGGGATGGAAAATCAAAGGGGAATAAGAAAAGTTTGGGCAAAGATGTGAGAAAGTGAGGAAAAAACAAAAAGAAAACCCAAACTTCAACTAAAACAATTTTTAATCAGTTCTAAACGAAGAGGAAAACAAGTTATTTTAGGAAATTTTTGTGAAGATTGTTGGGTAAACTCAAGAAAAAGACGAAATCTAGAGAGAATGGAAGTTTAGAGAGGAAAATGGAGGATTTTCGACCTAGGTTGTGATCTAAATGGGAGCCCTTTTGTGTTTTAAAGAGCCACGGGTGTGGCTTTTACCGTACCGCCCTTCGTCGTTGTCGAAGGCTGGCCGGCGCTATCAAAGCCCGGCCGTGCATCGGCGAGGCCCGGCCGGCCTTCGGTGATTTCAATCTGTTTTCTTTTTTTATTTTCTGTTTTATGTTGTTTTGTGTTGTTGATTTATTTTATTTTATTTTATTTTGTTTCATCATTATTTTAATTTCTGAGTTATAGTCTCGGGTTTTAATTTTGAGTTTTAAATTTCGATTTTAATTTTTGAGTTTTTGATCGTGGGTTTTGATTTAAATGGAGTAAGGAGTTGTATGTTAACAAAAAATGTGTTAAAAAATAAAGAAAAGAGAGAGAGGAGAAAACAAGCAATGAAGGCAAAATAGCATAGAGATCAAAGGAAATATCCATTTGGTTTTGTTTTGTTTCGTTGCGTAAGCGCATAATTTGATTTATGTTGATTTTATTTCATTAGTTTAATTTCATAATTTATCTTGTTTAAACTGTTCTGGTCATTGATGATTTGTCATGTTCAGTTCGTAATTCATTTCATCATTTCTTACATGCACGTTATTGTATGTACGGTTCATTTAAAAGAGTTCTAGGTAAAATCATTCGTTCCCTTCAAATCACTTCCTTCTACCCCTCCTCCTCTCGCGTGAGACGCGTTAGGATTGCTTCGGTTAAAAATATTTGGGTGCGTCCCGGTGTTCACACCACCCCTTCGGTTAAAAACATTCGGGTGCGTCCCAGTGTTCACACCACCACTTTAGTTAAAAATATTCGGGTGCGTCCCGGTGTTCACACCACCCCTTCGATTAAAAACATTCGGATGCGTCCCGGTGTTCACACCACCCCTCTGGTTAAAAACATTCGGATACGTCCAGTGTTCACACCACTCTTCCTCTAGCGTGAGACCCGTTAGGATTGTTTGTATCGGTTAAAACATTTGGGTGTGTCCCGGTGTTCACACCAACCCTTTTCTCCTTCCGCGTGCAACACATTAGGATCTCAATAGAGGCCTCGGGTGCGCCCGACGGTTATGTCACTCTTCGCCTTTCCTGTGCGTCGCGTAGTTGAGCTTTAATTTTTTTACTTCCTTTCTGCATGAAATGTGGTGTTTATTTACTTACGCGTGATTCTCACACGTGTCGTGTTTATTTACTTACTTCTTTTCATGCTTGGAATTGCTGTGCCTTGTTTCAGTTTGTTTAACTATGGTATTTTCTTTGCATTGCATTCGCATTCAAATGTTTCATTGCGCAGCCTCATTGCATGATCATAAGTTATATTCTTGCATCATGCATGTCATTTGCATCTTGTCCCAAAACTACGCTAGTTTGATTCCTTGCAAAAGGATACGTAGGCAGCCTGCGGGCACAACCAATTTATTTTTGTCTTGCTTTCTTGTTCAAGTGTTGCAGCCTTGTCAAAATGGGTTGTCTTTAGGCTTTGACATTCACTCACGTCATTTTATGACTCCGATCTCTGTCAAAGAGGGGCAACTTTAGACACCCCATTTTTGACCCCCCGCAAGACTCAGACACATGGTTCAAAGCACTCAATGATGAAAGTTGAATTATAAATTCGCAGCAATTCGGAATCAATCAGGCTTCCGAAATAGCCTCACATCTTCAATATTTACCTTGTTTGAACCCATGAGTTTCATTTTTGGGCCTTTTCCTACCATGAGCAGTGTTTGAACTAAAAAAACAAGAGAGGCCATCAAGACCCGGCCGTGACTATGAATGGCCGGCCGGCCTTCGATGGTGATAAACACTGTTCTGGGCGGAAGGCCACCAGCTGTCCATTTTTGAAGATATTTATCACATTTTGAGCTCGAATTCTATAAAACTGAAGCTCTGGGATTGTTTTGAGGGTTGAAAAAAATTCTAGAAGTGTTATATACACCTTGAGAGCTCTTTTCTCCTCCTTCCATTGCAAGTCATCTTTGAGCTAACCTAGCTTGCTTATATCACCTACATACACCATATATAACCTTGTCTTACCACCCTTAAGCCTTGGTTGATCTTGGAGAAGTATAATTCAAGCTTGAGAGTGAATTAAAACCAAGTTTGAAACATCAACAACAAGTTTACTTCTTGAAAGGTATAAGCTTGTTTTCTCTTCTCTTGCCTTCATTTCTACCATTTACTTCATATTTCTTGCTGTTTTGGATTGTTTTGAGCTTGTTTGAAGTGTGTGGAGTTGGGTTTGAAGAGTTACCAAAAGGGCAGAGAGAGCTTGCTTTTTCTATACCTTTACTTATAACTCAAACCTTCTCCTTTTCACTCTTTTTCTTTGGTATTTACACTGATTTTCAGAGGTTTAGAAAGGCTAAAAACCATGTTTTGAAGCTTCAAAAGTGGAGGGATTAACCACCCCTCCTTATCTTTGTTTACTAGCCTTAATTCTCTTCTTTATAGTCTAGCTTTTCAAACTCTTTTCATGCATGTTTTACCTTTGATTTTCATGTATTAAGGGCTGTTTTGAGGTTGTCTAGGCCTTTTCAATTGGTTCATGCCTCGTTTAATATACTTGTGGTCTCATAAGTTGACATACTTGTTACTTATTATGCTTTCTTGGTTCATTTTCCATGTTTGGAGTATAAGTTTACTAATCAATCAACCATTCCATATCTTTCCTTCTTGAGAATGGTTTCAACCAATTGAAGTTGTTCAAAACATATAAAGGAGACCTACACTTAATGGCTTAATCTCTCCGGAGATTCATTGTCAACGGTGTAGTCTCCTTCTCACGTCTTAGAATAACCTCTTGTTTGACATTATTTCTTGTTTAGAGGACTTTAAAATCACATTTGGACAAATGGACTAATGAATGGCAATGACTAAAACAATTGGCTTAAAACTTGGATTAACACACTTAAAAAAAATGGCTTAATAGCTTGAACTTGGCCAGACGTTATGCCAAGTTTCTTGTGTCAGAGTCATCAAGCATCAATTCATGGTGTTTTCGATGTCCTTGAAGCGTCTCAATTTCCTTTTTTGAGTTCATTCCATAACAAAGGGAGGGGTGGTCATTTGCATTACATTCATTGATTTTTGTCCAAAATGATATTCGAGATCATCAAGCAATCATATTATTGATGGTTTTGAAATCAATCCCAACCTTCTCTTGAAACTTTTCCATGACAAAGAAGGGAGGAAGGACAAACAGAGCTTAAAAATGCTCTATCTACACTGTTTTCACCTCAGAGCACAAAAACAGAGCTTTGCACCAAATGGATGCACGGCTAGTCATCTATAGACCCGGCCAGCCATCAGTGATGCACGGTCAACCCTTGGTGTATGGCCAACAGTGCAGTTTTGCAAAAACAGAGGCAATGGCTGAAGGTGAAACAGAGATGGTCTGGGCAGACGGAGTAGCTTTCAAGTGATGCGTATGCAACCTTCATCCATCTTCCATGGTGTCCTTATCAAATGCAATTTATTATTTCATTAGTATTATTAGTTGTAGCTAATTAATTGTGTTATAATATTCAATTAGTCTAATTAGTTGCAGCTAATTATTTGGTGTTGTAATATTTAATTAGATTAGCCTAGTTAATTTCTTTTAATTAATTAGTTTAAATAGTTAGTTAATTACTCATTTCAAATGTTGTAATAATTAGCTTAATTAGCTTAGCTTAGCTGGGTTAGCTAGTTTATTCATTCAGACTCTCCTTCGTGAAAGCATGTTGTAATAATGTGTATGTCTTCCAACTCCATATCTTTCTCTCTTTTATTTATCCGCTTTTGATAGTTAGATTAGGGACATGTTCATTTAGCATACCTTATGCTTGCATCCATTCATTCGTACTGCATGAATCGAGACTCGGCGCATCATTCTAACTGCATTTTCATTTCAATATTTCATTGAATACATGTTTAATCGCATGTTATCAAAAATTAATCCATATGCCATATTAGTAGCCGAGCCTATTAATTGCATGTTGCATGTGTTGTATTAGACATTTCGCATAGTTAGGAATCATGCATATTTTTCTAACTCTTTTGTTTTATTTTAACTTGGAGGACTAGGTGAGTTTTTAATACTTTAGCATACTTGCATGAGTTTGAGTGATTGCCATGACTAGCATGCTTCCATGAGGCTAAATGCTTATTTGATAAACTGCTTAAATGCCTGTGGATGAAGGCTGCTTGTTTGAATTGGAATGATTCAACAAATGTATGTTTTAAGCCCACTATGTCTAGTGACAAATTCACTGCTTTAAGCCCACTTTGTTAAGTGGCAAATTCGCAAACTTTAAGCCCACTGGGGGGGGGCAAATTCAAACCCTTTTCGCAAAACAAACATGAAATTGAATTGTTCCAATTTGGACAAACTAGTCTATACTTGCTTGTGCGCATCACATAGTAATGCTAGCTTAATAACCGGAACAATAACATATAATGTTGATAAAAATTATATCATGATTATTAGAGACCGATCTTTGATCGGGCAAGTGGGGGTGCTCAATTCATGGCATTTCCCTCTAGTACCTAAGTTCCGGAGCCGAGGCAACTTTGGTGATGACGGATACGTGGCCTTTAGCATAAGTCACGGGTTCCTTAAATTTTTCCAAAATAAAATATTTAGGTAGCGACTCTGTATCTGGTAAGAGTCCAATTTTGACATTTTTTATCCTAAAATCAATTTTCCAAAAGATTTGCCGGATTTAGACTTTTTGGTGTTTATCAATTTCACATTGCACTTGTAAGATTAGATTCAAAACCGCGGGAGTCCGAACTGTAGGGCTTTCTTTCAAACCTTCCGAAAGGGGCGCGAAAAAGTTGAGCTACAGCTACTCTAGGGGTCCGAAAATTCCAAAAGAGAGGAGGGGCTAGGGTTTGGAAAGGGGGATTTTCAAGCTTCAAGAACATCTTTCCTGGGGGTTTTATCTTCTTCCACCTCTTCCCATTCCTCCATAAGTGGCTAGGCTTCTATTTCTAGGGTTCTGATAAAACCCTAGCCAAGTAAATAGGGTTTTCTTTTTGGTTTTGATTATGTAATGGTTTGAACAAGTTGTATGGTATTCAAGAAGTTTTTATATATATTTTCTATTATTTCTTAAAGTATTCTACTTTCTGTGATTGTTAAATGCTTTTCATGCAATGATTTTCTATTCTTTCATATTCAAGGTATGAGACAAATCATACTATGAGATACGAGTCGTTTGGTACTCTAGTTTAGAGCGAACGACTTGTGCAACTTGAGATGGTTCATACCCATACATTAAACATGATAATTCTCTTGATCAATGCTTCGAACTTGTAGTTGCGAAGTATTATTTGGTTCGAACCGTAACATAATTGATTTTCAAATTAAACCTTGTTTATGTAACCAGCGGTAAATTCATTACCCTAGGTTTTTCCAAAATCAGTAATCCCAATTTCATTTTTAATCGTTAGTTTAATTTGTTACTATTTTAATTAGCATTAGTTTATAAACAATCAGCTCTTCCATCAGAATTAATTTAGGGATTTAGCAATTAAATTAGTTTAATTTCACATTTGTCCCTATAGATCGATACCTAGACTTAACCAACTAGGCCTAACCTAATTGGCCACCATACCTTCCTTTGGGTTGAGTCCCAAGGAGGTCATGGGTTCAATTCCCCTTCGGGGGTTGAATTAAGAGAGTGCTAGCACTTAGATGTTTTGCCAAGGGTGGAGAGATTTTCTCCCATAGCTGTTAATCTAACAACTAACCTTTGCCGATTAAAAAAAAAAAAAAAAAAGATCGATACCTGGACTTACCATTATTCGAAGGAATTTGGTATAATTTAGTATTTATTTTTAGTGTGTGTAACAACCCATCAATGCCGCTCATAAATACTCCACCGGTTCAATATGAAACCAAGCAGGATGAGAAGGCACAGATTCAATCAAATGGCTGACTACCCACAACTATAACAGTTCGGCACAACCAAAAAAATGGCATGCTGGGTTGTCAAGCAAGATGGAAAGGCCGCGGTAGGTCTCTGCAACTACGGTAGATATAATGGAGTGACAAACCATTGCACGTCTATTGCTTTTTAAAAAAAAAGCCCCACTGGATTGTAATTACTGTACTGATAATTTCTGGTAAAGGTTTTCAAACCAAAATGTGCAAGAACCAATGGCTGGTTAACCACCAAAACCACAAAAGGTAAAATAAGAAATACCAACCAAATTAATACATGAGCTACACAATATGTTAACCAGATTTTTTTATTTTTCTCGAATAAAAAAGTTTCATCAAATTACTAAGTAAAACGCAACATTATTATAAGAGTAGAGAAACTATTAATTGAAAGATTTAAACGAAAACAAAACATTAAATAAAAATAATATAAAAAACAATCTAATTAAATAAGGAAAATACACACAGGATAATGACAAGCAAAGAATACCTTATTTTCTTTTTTCCGACTCCACTCATGCCATCAAAACTTTCAAGTAAACAACCTATTTTATTACAAATGAAAAGAAAAAATATATATAAGAAACTATTTACTCTTGTTTCCAAGCATTGAAACCTATTAGAAAATAAAACAGTTGCACTCCAAAAGTTCTTGTTCATTAATATAATTAAAAAAAACATATATATATATATGCTAATAAAAATAATGCACGGCAAAAAAAATAATGCAACTAGTAAACTTGAATCTAGACAAAGATGAACTGAAGAAAAGAATGTAAACCCCTAAGAAGAATTAACATGTCTAGCAATGACAATGAAGTAGAAACATTACCTGAAGACTGAGGGGGCATGTCTCTTGGCCTTGTGATCTAGTCTCTGTTTATTATGGAAATTCTATTTCCACACTATTTTGTCTGTGTACACAATTAATGGGGAAAAAAAGAAGAAGAGAGGTTATGACAATTTTCAATTTTATCATGAAACAAAATGACCATAATGGACATCAATACACACAACAAATTAAATCTAGATTTCTCCATACACATCTTTAAAAAACAAATTCTCAATGCACAACTTCTAAAAAAAAAAAACCAAAAATTAAAACTCAGTTCCTACATTGTTTCTCACTACCTCTATTGTTTTCCATTACTTGCTACACTGCATTGTTACACTCTATCCATTGCTTGCATAAACTACTCTGATATCAAGTACTGAAAAATTGTAAAACATTAGGCACTACAGAACCGATTTAATTTAAAAAATTCAAAAATTTATAAATAATTTGGAAGTATATAATTGAAAATGTAAAATAATTTCGGAATATTTTTTCTGATTAGTGAGTGACTTCTTGTTTCTGAATATTTTTTTCTGATTGATCTTTCAGTTCATTCAGGTTTCAATGGCTACCAACAACAACCCCTCTGCCCTAGAAAAAGAACAGGTACTTCATACATATACAGACACTAACACTATATATGTATGCTTATGAGATAGGCAAAACTATTAACTGGAAAAGATTACTTTTTTTTGATGATTTTGTGCAGATCACGAAACCCCTCTCTTTTTTTTTGTTGAGATCGCGAAATGGAAGAACAATAACATATTATTGCTTTTATCGTTGACAAATATTGTAGGGTTACGGTGGGATGGTTCGGGAAAGAGGAGAGAGAAAGTGGAATTACCTGAAAATGCTTGTGGTTTTCGCACCAATTGCTTTTGTCCTCCTACTCTTTATTCTGTGTATGCGGCTAGAGTTAGCAGCAACCACTTCGTTTTCTCTGAATATATAGTTATGAAATTTAAAAGGATGGTTCTAGATGAAATAGTCATGTAATTTAATTTTATATTATCATTAATGCGTTTAAGGTAGATTATAAATATATTTTTTGAGATATATTTAAAATATAATAAATTCTATAATTTTAATCTATATATTATATAAGGGAAAGGAAGTTTATAACTCACAAACTTTGTGTGAGCTTTAATATCTCAATATTAATTTTTTAATTTTAGATTTTTTTAAAAAAAAATCTCAACATTTATTAACTTTTTTCAATCCACATGCCTTTTGAGAGATTTTGTCAAAATCCTCTTATTAACATTTATTACCCTTTGCCAATCTATATGCCTTTTGAGAGACTTTGTCAAAATCCCCTCATCAGCATTTATTAACCTTTGCCAATCCACATGCTTTTTGAGAGATTTGGTCAAATTCCCCACATTATTATCAAAATATATATACAAATAATTATAAATACAACTCGTGCATAGCATGGGTGAAACACTAGTATTATATAAGTAAAATAGAGTTTTTAATGAAAAGGCACCGGTGCAAATCAAAACTCTCATACTATTTTTTTAGAATTCTTATTTTTTAAATAATTAAAAAAAATTCTATTAGTTAACTTTTATTGAATCATTTAGAAAAATAGTAATTAATCCATTTAAAAGGAAAGTTAATTAATCTATTTAAAAATTTAATTAGCTTTTATGCCTTGATTTACATATTTCAAAAGGAAAGTTAATTAATTCATTTAAAAATTTAAATTTGAAAGGAAAGTTAATTAATCTATTTAAAAATTTAAATAGATTTTATGCCTTAATTTACATATTTTAAAAGGAAAATTAATTAATTCATTTAAAAATTTAAATTTAAAAAGAAAGTTAGTTAATCTATTTAAAAATTTAAATAACTTTTATGCCTTGATTTACACATTTCGAAAATAAAGTTAATTAATTTATTTAATAATTTTAATTTTGAAATTGAAAAGGAAAGTTAACTAAGATATAAATTTAAATTTAAATTTTTATACTATTAAAATATATGAATTAATCTACATCTTTCATAGATTTTTTTTTCTTGATATTTAATAATTTTATATGCATCGATATTCCAATCTATATATCTATATTATAGCAAACAGGCATTCCATAAAAAAAACATAATAATAATAAAAAAAAAATAATGAAATCTCCAAAGATTAGTGACGTAGACAAAATCAAACAAAATGTGTAGGTCTTAGAGTTTTAAAGTAAAAAAATTATGTTAGAATTTGTTTAAATGTAATTCTCTTAATATTTATAAATATTTTTTATTGATTGACAAAAAGCACCATAAACATTAAGATTATTGTTTTTTTATCATATTGAGTTATTAAAATAAGAAGTCTTATAGGCTCATTTGTAATATTTAATCTCATATTAGAACTCTCAAACTAACTCATACCGGTTACAAACTGATAAAGATAATTTTAAATAATCAAGACAATTTTTAATGACTAAGTGAATGTCACATTGGCATAAATATTTAGTCAACTAGCCTTCAGGTTACTTCTAATATTTAGTCCAACACCATAAGTCAATTCTAATCCGTTATCACATAAGAGTTATGATAACAATTTTAAATAAATAGATTTTTAGGTTTTACAAAATAAGAAAAAATTAGTATATTAAAAAATATAATTTATTACTATCATATGGTAAATTAAAATTATGAAACTTATAAAATGAAATGTATTTATATTTTATCGTAAATAAAATTTTTGTAATTTATTAATTAAATTTTACCAATTAAATAATGGCATGCAGGTTTTTATTAAGAACTTAGAAAATACAATTAATGACCTTAGAATAAAAATCTTCTCTTAGTGTATCTCTAATAAAAATTAATAAAATTTAATTGATCATAAATCACTTTTACAACATATTTTAAATAAATTTTATATTATTATTTTAATTTAAAAACTAATTTTTGATTATTTATTTATACTCGTGCATAGCACGAGTAATATGCTAGTATAATTATATTGAAAGAATGAGTCTCATATTGAATAATAATTTATTAATTACATGAATAAAAAAATGATCTCCTCATTTCTTTTACTCACAACTTATATCTTAAATTATTTTATGTTTTTACTTTAATTCTGATCCATTTAACCATATTAAAAGAAAAAATTAATATAATTACATCAAAACTTTTTTTAAAAAAAATCAAATTTTAAGGTTAGTGTGATGGGTTTATTACACTTTATACCTCTAAATTATTATCAAATTGTCAGTGTATTAAATCCTTAAAGTATATATAGATTAAAATCTATTTAATTCATAAACTATCGATTGAATCTATTAAGTGTCTAAGATATTTAAATCAAACCTATTTAATCCCTGAAAAGGTCACAAAAATAAAATGTAAGCTCATAAATATTATAAATTGGTAAAAGACCCTAATCTAATTAAAATTTTATTTCAAAAAAAACTTAAAATTTAATTCTATCTTTAAAAAGTCGGTGTTACCTCTTCTGGTGAATTTTCTTTATGAGGATAAAAGTAATTATCTATCATATTTTCTTATTTATCTTCTAAAATGGCTATGTGTGTTTGCCTTTATCTAATATTATATGTCAGATGTTATTTATAATTATTAATTGATTGTTTTTAAGTTTTTCACAAAGTTCTTTTTATAATTTAAATAATATATTATTTTTTTCTATTATTATTTGTGGCAAAATGTTATTATTTAAATTATCTAATTCTACTTTTTCAGTATATCTAATACTTATATAATTTTATTGGCAAGGCTGATAAATTAGACTTTAATATTAATTTAATCACACAATGGAAAAAAAAATGCTTAATAGGGACAAAATAAAAATTTTGTAATAAATTTTTGATTAGGTATGGGCTTTTATTAATTTATAATACTTACGGGCATATATTTTAATTTAATGATTATTTTAGGAACTAAATAGATTTGAGTTAAATATTTTAGGAATTTAATAAATTCAATTGATAGTTTAGAAACTAAATAGACTTTGATTTATATACTTTAAAGACTTAAGAGATTCAATCGATAGTTTAAAAATTAAATAGATAATTTGATGATAGTTTATGTATAGAAAGTGTAATAAATCCTAGTGCAATGTACCCTATATGTTATTGGAAACCCAAAACTCAATTTAGAACTTCTCTACTGGCCCAAGTTAAAATGGCTTTGACAAAGTCATTTTTTTATTATAGGGTAACTTGTTATTTTGGCACAATTAAGTAACAAATTCAGTTAATTTTTAAACTTTTCAACCGTTGAATTGATAGATGTAGTAAATTAAAGTTAATTATACATAAGAGATATAGTGAATGTTATTCCCATGGAGTTGTAGGTCTTCAAATGATCAATTGTGAATAATTGACTTAATTTTAATTATTTTTTAATATTATTGATTTTTTGTAATTTGTAGATTTTTTAGAATTTTAAAATTTTTAATAGAATTTAGATTTGTAAAAATTGTGATTTTTTTTTTTTTTTGAGTTTTAGTAGGAAATAATGAAAATTAGTGAAAAAGTCCATTTGAGCAACTTGTTTACCATAGATCCTATAAATACACTTGTGATCCGATAATTACTATATACTTATCTGAAAGGAAAATAATATACAATTCCATTTTCTAGACACATTGATGTGTCAATAAGATAATTGATTAGAAAATAGAATATTTTATGTACAAACCCACTTTGTAGAAGAAAAAAAAAATGATATACAAGCTCACTTTCTAAATCCATTTAAAAATAATATATTTTTTATTTATTAGGAATTGGATTCTTTTCGGTTAAAAAATTTAACTAGATAGTTTTCTTTGGCTCACTATAAACTCATTTTAGATCCATTTCAAAGATTCAAACTATTTATTTTGTATGATTTTTCGAGAAGATCATGCCCACTAAAAATCAGGTTGATTCGATATTGGGAGCTACTTAATCGGAACACATTTGCTTGAAAAATAATTAACAAATAGCATAATTTTGAAAGTACTCTATTAATTATTTTTCAAACAAAATGTGTTCCGATTGAATGACTCGCAATATCAAATCGACGTTTTCCTTCTTTTTTCTACCCAAGACATCAGTCATAACGGCCAAAATGTACGCAGATCAAAGCAAAAACAAGAATGAGAAATAAAGGAAAAGAGAAGAATAATGTCATTTCAAGCATATCACAATATTTAAAATGCCATGTGCGAGACACATTAAATTTTCACTAGCATATGTAACGGATCATTAATAGAATGTTCACATTGATATAAATTAATAATTTAATGTGAAAAAATAACAATTTTTTAGTTTAAGGGGACAAAATCATTATGGATGATAATAGTTCAAGGGTAAGGTGTAATTTACCCAATACACAAGTAGATAGCTGGTGTTTAACAGAGCAAGCGGTACTGCCCCTATTGTTTTGATCAAAGGGAATTGATATTTAAAGCACAAAAAGGTTTTTCCAGGATGAGTTAGAGCAGTTATAATTTTCTTTTCACATGTAACTCACATTTTTCTCTCACATATCATTATCAACTTTGCAAAAAATTGAATTACACCAGAATTATAACCCTCATTGACAAGAAAATTGCAAATCAATTTGTGTTTGTATACCAGTTTCATTCATTCTCCTCATTTTTTCCCCTGGATTTAAACAGCCATGACCAACACTGATGCTCCAAGACATCAATCTCATGTGCAACTCTGCAACTTATCCCCTGATTTTGCAAACTCGGAGTGTTAACTTATATCTCACCTCAAGGTCTTGATTTTGAATTCACCACTCACCAAGCACAATTGCTTAATTCACTAACCAATATTGTAAAACTATCTGACCATGCTCTATCCCAGTGCTTTGTTGATTCTACTTTCCATCATCAATGCTCTCACTTTCTCTACTCCATCCCATTTCCCTCTTTCTACATAAACATTTGACAACAACACATAA